GTTCCCGCTCTGAAACCTCTTCACAACATGAAATTTAATATCTCTCTTTAATTCCTCCAACCAGTGGCTGGTAAACTGTGGTTTTGGGAGCGAGGAGAGTCCGGGGATAATTCCATGAGGTTAATATCTAACCATGACCACAGCCTCTCCCTCTCTTCCATCTTCCCTTCTCCTTGGCGTTGACCGCAATGCTCCTCTCCTACTGTCTGAGCTGTCAGTCAGCTGCTTTGCCCTCATCTATCCAAAACAACACACACAGGAGCCTCTGTGTTACTGTTCTGGGTCTGTTTGGAAATCTATACAGCAGCTTTTGTGTCAAGTGGACATTGTTGGTAGGTCAACACGCACACACACAAGGTTGGAACTGAGATACATTCACCGTGATCTGTCTTTACCCTTCTATGCGCACACACACACACACAAACACACACATACACACACGGAAGGGTGATAGACACCGGTGTATAACCCAAAGCCGGAGGCGGCGTAGCAACATCAAAGATTAAGCAAGTTGTGGCAGGAGGAAATTGCTGCTCCACCTCGCTGTGGCAGGATGACATCAGTGGCGTGGGTGGCAGAGGGGTGTCAGGGCCCGGAGGGAAAGGCGTCGGTGAGAGAGGGCAGGACAAAAGAGGGAGGAATCAAGCCGTCCAGAAGAGGTTAGCTCCTATCATTAACAGCCCTGACGTCATGGTATAAAATGGGAAATGGCCTCGGAGGCTTGAATGGAAGCGGGGGAAAAAGTTTGGGAATAAATTTGCATAGACTTTTGCAGTTTGCCTGAACTTTGGGATTGAGACACGAAGTGCCAGGATGCAACTCGAGTTTTCAACTCGATTTTTAATCCGGCGTTGCTGTTCAAATGCCAGAGTGACTCCTGTCTGACAATAAGATTCGGCGACTCAATGAAACTGTTCAATACGCTTTGAGAAACTCAGCACAAACTCGCGCGGCTCCTGAAAACGACAGCAAGCCCTCCTCCCCTCAGACTGCAGCGTGGCTAAATAAAAAACTCCTGCTAGAGCACATGACATTTGTAATCTGTCCTCAGCATCAATTGTGCACGCTTTTATTCACTACCAAATAGCCCTCTGCCGCCAGGACAAATATCACATCCATATACTGCAAATGTAATTTACCGACTCATTCATGTTATTGCATTTTTCCAGTCAATACTCTCCTGATTCAGAGGATTCGGAAAAGACTAAAAAAAACACAGCGAACAAGCTGAGGCACTTTTGAAAATGAGCTGTACAATAGATACCTTGTCATCAATGTATTATGCTCCTAATGATGATGACACATGACTCGTCCGGTAGTGAGGAATAGGCACACATTTATATAAATGGATTGCCTCTGTGGTGTGGCCCTGCAGCTCTGCTGACAAAGTGGATAACTGATAGCAGCAGATGGGTCAGACTGCATAGGTATGCATGGTCTGTGGAGCTAATACGCCACCTAGTGGTGTATTTTTACTGTCTATGCAGTACAACCCGCTCTTATCACTTCAGTACTGAGCAAATTAGGCACAGAGTGAAGGAAAGCACCTTCAGATCAGTTATTTTTCCTACATGTGAAAGTGTTTACTCCAGATTTCTCTGACGGTAGTAATTTCAACTTTATAAAGCAACAAGGTTACAGGGCAGATATTTTCAAACTAAAGCCACCCAAAAGTATCTAAAATAGCTATAATTAGCACTTATAATTCAGTACAGATATGTAGGAAACCAACAGAGCCACATATAGAAGGAGATGGGAAGAATTTAAACAAGACAGCAGGTCAGTCAAGACACATTTTTTACACGACTTTAGGTTCAAAACAATAATAATCAGGTTTTGTAGGTTAGGTGTGAATGATAGAAAGCTTCCTTATTTCTCTTTTGATATCCATGAGGTCGTCACCCATGTAGGGATGGAACTGGGTTTTATTTTAGCTTCATGTTGTATAGGCACACCTTCACTCCATCCATCCATCTTCTTCCGCTTATCCGAGGCCGGATCGCAGCCGCAGCCTAAGCAGAGAAGCCCAGACCTCCCTCTCCCCAGCTACCTCCTCCAGCTTGTCCGGGGGAACATCAAGGCGTTCCCAGGACAGCCGGGAAATAGAATCTCTCTTCACACTTTACATTTCAATACATTCATACATTTATTTTGCCTTTATTGTTAGTTTATTTTGTCAAAAGCCTTTTCATGTGGGAGTTACAAATAGGAAACTCTGTAAGTGGTTGAAGATTAAGCCAAAATAAAACCCAATCCCAACCCTAGATGGGCGACTTGTGACCTGGTGAATGTCAAATATAGCGACTGCTGTCTCTTCACTGTCAGTGTGGGGCATAATCATGCCAAGATCCAAAGCATTATCTAATGTTTGTAGATGTTCATGTCTGACAAGCAATTTTAGAAGATCTAATACAGACTGTCCATCCCAGAATCAAAGGGAAA